GCAAGCACAAAAGATCAAGCAAGCCCGAAAGATCAAGCAAGCAGCAAAAGATCAAGCAAGCACAAAAGTTCAAGCAAGCACAAAAGATCAAGCAAGCACAAAAGATCAAGCAAGCACAAAAGATCAAGCAAGCACAAAAGATCAAGCAAGCACAAAAGATCAAGCAAGCACAAAAGATCAAGCAAGCACAAAAGATCAAGCAAGCACAAAAGATCAAGCAAGCACAAAAGATCAAGCAAGCACAAAAGATCAAGCAAGCACAAAAGATCAAGCAAGCACGAAAGATCAAGCAAGCACAAAAGATCAAGCAAGCAGCAAAAGATCAAGCAAGCAGCAAAAGATCAAGCAAGCACAAAAGATCAAGCAAGCACAAAAGATCAAGCAAGCAGCAAAAGATCAAGCAAGCACGAAAGATCAAGCAAGCACGAAAGATCAAGCAAGCAGCAAAAGATCAAGCAAGCACAAAAGATCAAGCAAGCAGCAAAAGATCAAGCAAGCACAAAAGATCAAGCAAGCACAAAAGATCAAGCAAGCACAAAAGATCAAGCAAGCACAAAAGATCAAGCAAGCACAAAAGATCAAGCAAGCAGCAAAAGATCAAGCAAGCAGCAAAAGATCAAGCAAGCACAAAAGATCAAGCAAGCAGCAAAAGATCAAGCAAGCACAAAAGATCAAGCAAGCAGCAAAAGATCAAGCAAGAACAAAAGATCAAGCAAGCACAAAAGATCAAGCAAGCACAAAAGATCAAGCAAGCACAAAAGATCAAGCAAGCACAAAAGATCAAGCAAGCACAAAAGATCAAGCAAGCAGCAAAAGATCAAGCAAGCACAAAAGATCAAGCAAGCACAAAAGATCAAGCAAGCACAAAAGATCAAGCAAGCACAAAAGATCAAGCAAGCAGCAAAAGATCAAGCAAGCACAAAAGATCAAGCAAGCACAAAAGATCAAGCAAGCACAAAAGATCAAGCAAGCAGCAAAAGATCAAGCAAGCAGCAAAAGATCAAGCAAGCACAAAAGATCAAGCAAGCAGCAAAAGATCAAGCAAGCACAAAAGATCAAGCAAGCACAAAAGATCAAGCAAGCAGCAAAAGATCAAGCAAGCAACAAAAGATCAAGCAAGCACAAAAGATCAAGCAAGCACAAAAGATCAAGCAAGCACAAAAGATCAAGCAAGCACAAAAGATCAAGCAAGCACAAAAGATCAAGCAAGCACAAAAGATCAAGCAAGCAGCAAAAGATCAAGCAAGCAGCAAAAGATCAAGCAAGCACAAAAGATCAAGCAAGCACAAAAGATCAAGCAAGCACGAAAGATCAAGCAAGCAGCAAAAGATCAAGCAAGCACAAAAGATCAAGCAAGCAGCAAAAGATCAAGCGAGCACAAAAGATCAAGCAAGCACAAAAGATCAAGCAAGCACAAAAGATCAAGCAAGCACAAAAGATCAAGCAAGCACAAAAGATCAAGCAAGCACAAAAGATCAAGCAAGCACAAAAGATCAAGCAAGCACAAAAGATCAAGCAAGCACAAAAGATCAAGCAAGCAGCAAAAGATCAAGCAAGCAGCAAAAGATCAAGCAAGCAGCAAAAGATCAAGCAAGCACGAAAGATCAAGCAAGCAGCAAAAGATCAAGCAAGCGCAAAAGATCAAGCAAGCAGCAAAAGATCAAGCAAGCAGCAAAAGATCAAGCAAGCACAAAAGATCAAGCAAGCAGCAAAAGATCAAGCAAGCACAAAAGATCAAGCAAGCACGAAAGATCAAGCAAGCAGCAAAAGATCAAGCAAGCACAAAAGATCAAGCAAGCAGCAAAAGATCAAGCAAGCACAAAAGATCAAGCAAGCACAAAAGATCAAGCAAGCACAAAAGATCAAGCAAGCACAAAAGATCAAGCAAGCACAAAAGATCAAGCAAGCACAAAAGATCAAGCAAGCACAAGAGATCAAGCAAGCACAAAAGATCAAGCAGGCACAAAAGATCAAGCAAGCACAAAAGATCAAGCAAGCAGCAAAAGATCAAGCAAGCAGCAAAAGATCAAGCAAGCACAAAAGATCAAGCAAGCAGCAAAAGATCAAGCAAGCACAAAAGATCAAGCAAGCAGCAAAAGATCAAGCAAGCACAAAAGATCAAGCAAGCACAAAAGATCAAGCAAGCACAAAAGATCAAGCAAGCACAAAAGATCAAGCAAGCACAAAAGATCAAGCAAGCACAAAAGATCAAGCAAGCAGCAAAAGATCAAGCAAGCACAAAAGATCAAGCAAGCACAAAAGATCAAGCAAGCACAAAAGATCAAGCAAGCACAAAAGATCAAGCAAGCAGCAAAAGATCAAGCAAGCACAAAAGATCAAGCAAGCACAAAAGATCAAGCAAGCACAAAAGATCAAGCAAGCACGAAAGATCAAGCAAGCACAAAAGATCAAGCAAGCACAAAAGATCAAGCAAGCACAAAAGATCAAGCAAGCACAAAAGATCAAGCAAGCACAAAAGATCAAGCAAGCAGCAAAAGATCAAGCAAGCAGCAAAAGATCAAGCAAGCACAAAAGATCAAGCAAGCACAAAAGATCAAGCAAGCACAAAAGATCAAGCAAGCACAAAAGATCAAGCAAGCAGCAAAAGATCAAGCAAGCACAAAAGATCAAGCAAGCACAAAAGATCAAGCAAGCACAAAAGATCAAGCAAGCACAAAAGATCAAGCAAGCACAAAAGATCAAGCAAGCAGCAAAAGATCAAGCAAGCAGCAAAAGATCAAGCAAGCACAAAAGATCAAGCAAGCAGCAAAAGATCAAGCAAGCACAAAAGATCAAGCAAGCAGCAAAAGATCAAGCAAGCACAAAAGATCAAGCAAGCACAAAAGATCAAGCAAGCACAAAAGATCAAGCAAGCACAAAAGATCAAGCAAGCACAAAAGATCAAGCAAGCACAAAAGATCAAGCAAGCAGCAAAAGATCAAGCAAGCACAAAAGATCAAGCAAGCACAAAAGATCAAGCAAGCACAAAAGATCAAGCAAGCACAAAAGATCAAGCAAGCAGCAAAAGATCAAGCAAGCACAAAAGATCAAGCAAGCACAAAAGATCAAGCAAGCACAAAAGATCAAGCAAGCACGAAAGATCAAGCAAGCACAAAAGATCAAGCAAGCACAAAAGATCAAGCAAGCACAAAAGATCAAGCAAGCACAAAAGATCAAGCAAGCACAAAAGATCAAGCAAGCAGCAAAAGATCAAGCAAGCAGCAAAAGATCAAGCAAGCACAAAAGATCAAGCAAGCACAAAAGATCAAGCAAGCACAAAAGATCAAGCAAGCACAAAGATCAAGCAAGCAGCAAAAGATCAAGCAAGCACAAAAGATCAAGCAAGCACAAAAGATCAAGCAAGCACAAAAGATCAAGCAAGCACAAAAGATCAAGCAAGCACAAAAGATCAAGCAAGCACAAAAGATCAAGCAAGCACAAAAGATCAAGCAAGCACAAAAGATCAAGCAAGCAGCAAAAGATCAAGCAAGCAGCAAAAGATCAAGCAAGCAGCAAAAGATCAAGCAAGCAGCAAAAGATCAAGCAAGCACGAAAGATCAAGCAAGCAGCAAAAGATCAAGCAAGCGCAAAAGATCAAGCAAGCAGCAAAAGATCAAGCAAGCAGCAAAAGATCAAGCAAGCACAAAAGATCAAGCAAGCAGCAAAAGATCAAGCAAGCACAAAAGATCAAGCAAGCACGAAAGATCAAGCAAGCAGCAAAAGATCAAGCAAGCAGAAAAGATCAAGCAAGCAGCAAAAGATCAAGCAAGCACAAAAGATCAAGCAAGCACAAAAGATCAAGCAAGCACAAAAGATCAAGCAAGCACAAAAGATCAAGCAAGCACAAAAGATCAAGCAAGCACAAAAGATCAAGCAAGCACAAAAGATCAAGCAAGCACAAAAGATCAAGCAAGCACAAAAGATCAAGCAAGCACAAAAGATCAAGCAAGCAGCAAAAGATCAAGCAAGCAGCAAAAGATCAAGCAAGCACAAAAGATCAAGCAAGCAGCAAAAGATCAAGCAAGCACAAAAGATCAAGCAAGCACAAAAGATCAAGCAAGCAGCAAAAGATCAAGCAAGCACAAAAGATCAAGCAAGCACAAAAGATCAAGCAAGCACAAAAGATCAAGCAAGCACAAAAGATCAAGCAAGCACAAAAGATCAAGCAAGCACAAAAGATCAAGCAAGCAGCAAAAGATCAAGCAAGCACAAAAGATCAAGCAAGCACAAAAGATCAAGCAAGCACAAAAGATCAAGCAAGCACAAAAGATCAAGCAAGCAGCAAAAGATCAAGCAAGCACAAAAGATCAAGCAAGCACAAAAGATCAAGCAAGCACAAAAGATCAAGCAAGCAGCAAAAGATCAAGCAAGCAGCAAAAGATCAAGCAAGCACAAAAGATCAAGCAAGCAGCAAAAGATCAAGCAAGCACAAAAGATCAAGCAAGCACAAAAGATCAAGCAAGCAGCAAAAGATCAAGCAAGCAACAAAAGATCAAGCAAGCACAAAAGATCAAGCAAGCACAAAAGATCAAGCAAGCACAAAAGATCAAGCAAGCACAAAAGATCAAGCAAGCACAAAAGATCAAGCAAGCACAAAAGATCAAGCAAGCAGCAAAAGATCAAGCAAGCAGCAAAAGATCAAGCAAGCACAAAAGATCAAGCAAGCACAAAAGATCAAGCAAGCACAAAAGATCAAGCAAGCAGCAAAAGATCAAGCAAGCACAAAAGATCAAGCAAGCACAAAAGATCAAGCAAGCAGCAAAAGATCAAGCAAGCACAAAAGATCAAGCAAGCACATATATTGAAATAATCGGTTTCCTCCACTCTACTGTTTTCCCTCACACACTCCCGTTCCCCTGCCCTCCTCAGGTGCACTCCTTGCTCCCAGGCCACGCCTTGGAGCAAACCATCCCCCTGCCGGAGCATGCATCGCTCTTCACCCCTCCCACTCTCCCTTGACCCTCCTGTATTTTCCTGATCCTGAACCCTGCCCTCCTCAGGTGCGCTCCTTGCTTCCAGGTCATGCTTTGGTGCAAGCCATCCCCCTGCGGGAGCATGCAGCGTTGTGGACTCCTCTAAATCTCCCCACTGCCACTACTGGCGCCGTTGAAGGCAGCAGCAGGGGGGCAGGGCGGTCAGCCCGGGGTGTGTTTGCAGTGGCGGAGGAGAGTGTGTACATCGTCGCTCCTGTCTCCCTTGCCGCTCAGGTGCGTGTCGCTCTGTGATGTGATGCAGTGCGGTGTGGTGTGGTGGTGTGCTGTGCTGTGTGGTACCAGTGCTACAAGCAGCGTCTTTGTCAAGGGCAGCAGCCGCAGAAGGGCAGCAGGGCGGTCAGCCCGGGGTGTGTTTGCAGTGGCGGAGGAGAGTGTGTACATCGTTTGCTCCTGTCTCCCTTGCTGCCCAGGTGTGTGCTGCTTAGAGGTGTGGTACGGTGTGGTGTGGTGTGGTGTTGTTCGGAGGGTTTGTTTCACAGCTCCAAAGGCAGGGATGAAGAAGAAACGTACAAATTTGTACACCCAACCAATATCTTATTACTTGAAACAAACATGACCCTCTGTGTTTTCCCCTACTCACCACCATACAGATTGATCAGCTTTTGAGTGTGGGCTTGAGGATGACAAGGCTTAAAGCCTCTCTCACACCCGTGTAACCTTAGCTGCTTCCCCTGCTACACCTGATGAACCTTTTCTGTTTGCCCTGCCCAACGCAATGCAGATCGACCAGCTTGTGAGCGAGGGGCTGTTTGAAGAGGCGCTCTCTCTGTGTGAGGGGCTGGAGGATGGAGAGGGGGAGGAGGAGGAAGGGGCGAGGGAGGGGGAGGAGGAGAGGAGTGGCCATCCGAGAAGGCGCATGGACTTGGTTCGACTTCGGTGAGTTGAATGCCGAATTATGTGCATGTGTTGTGCACGTGGATGTGTATGTGCCGTGTTTGCATGTGCATGTGCATGTGCATGTGCATGTGCATGTGTATGTGCATGTGCATGTGTATGTGCATGTGCATGAGCTATACGCCATATTGCTGTGCATCCATGCTTCTGAGGTGCCTCAAAAGGAGGGGAGTGGCCAGCCAAGGAGGCACATGGCCAACTTGCCCTCTGCTCCTCGCGCTCTGCTCCTCGCCCCCCTTTTTCCTATTTTTGAGTCGACTCAAAAATAGGCATACTACTATCATGTTGTCCACCCCCCTTCCCGCACCTCTCTCTCCTGCCCCCTCCCCCGTCTCTCCCTCCCTCCCAGTCTGGCCCACCATCTCTTCTCATCGGGTGAATTCGATCGAGCCATGCAGCAACTCGCCCTCTGCTCCTCGCCGCCCCTCCTCCCAGCCCTCTCGCTCTTCCCCTTCCTCCCCTCCCTCCCCTCCTCCATCCTCTCCCTCGCTACCGCCTCCTCCCCCTACCCTCCCTCCTTCCCCTCCGCCTCCCCCTCCTCCCCCTCCTACCCTCTCTCTCCTTCCTCCACACCTTCTGCTGCTGCAACACCACTGGGAGTGCAATCGCAATCAAATCTAACCGGGCGGCAGCGCAAGTTGGCATTGCTGTCACTAGTAGTCTTCCTGGCAGAGAAGCGAGCAGCGGCTGTAGCAGCTGCTGCAGCAGCAACATCATCATCAGCACCAGCAGCAGCTCCTGCCTCTGCTACTGCAGCAGCAGATTCCCTTGAAAAGGAAGGAGAGGAGAACGAGGGAGAGGAGCAGCAGAGCATGTCAGCAGCGGAAGCAACAGCAGTTGTGATTGACACCTACCTCTCCCTCGCCCTTCAGACCCTCACTCCCCTCCCACCACCACTCCCCCCGTTCTCCACACTACCTGCTCCAGCTGCCACAGCAGACGCATCAGCAGCAGCAGCCGCCACAGCAGCTGAAGCAGCCGCAGCAGCAGCAGAGGCAGAAGAGAGAGCTATCCCCCACTCTGCCCCATCCGCTGCTGCTGAATCACCTCCTGATTCTCCCGAGACTGCCTTTGACTTCAACCACTCGCTCTTCTCCTCCTCTGGGCCCCTCACCTTCGGACAGCGTCCCAGCCCACCTCCCCCTGCTGCCACTAGCAGCAGCTACAACACCCACGGCTCCCTTGGCAGTAACATCAAGAGTGGCGATGCAACCGCCACCGTAGAAAGCAGCAGCAGCAGCAACAACCTGGGAGCGAGTGGTGGTGGTGGTGGTGGGGGGGTGTCTTTCGAAGGGCCTCTGGATGCAGCATCTGTTTCTCGCGCTGCTGCTGCTGTCACTGCTGCTGCTTCTGCTGCTGCTGTGCGGACTGGTGATGGGCATGGGCAGGCGTTAGCCATACAGGCAGCTCCTTCTGAGTTCTCCCCTGCGGCGGTTGATCGCTTTATTGCCGCTCTCTCTGTTCAGACTTCTCTCTCTCAGCCTCATCCTCCTGCTGCTTCTCCTTCACTTGTCATTCCGAATCAAGAAGGGAGAGGTGTTGGGACTGATAATGGGTTATTTCATATGCAGAGTGAAGGAGCAGGGAGAGGTGGAGGGGGAGCGTCCATGTCAGCAGCGGGCGTTGCTGACTCAGCAGACCCGATGCACCCGCTCCGGTCGGCCCTGCATGTGTTGTGGGCGGCGGACAACGTCTGCCACGTCAGCACTGTGGAAGCTGCACTGCGTGAGGAGGACAGGTGGCGCGACGTGATTCGCTTTTTGTTTTTTAAGGGATTGCACAGAGAGGGTCTTGTGTTCTTAAGAGAGATGCTTAAAGGCGGTGGTGTGGGAATGGGGTGGGAAGGGGAGGAGGGGACAGAGCCGGTGGGACGGAGGAAGGGAGAGGGAGAAGGAATGGAGGGAGAAGGGGAAGGTGGTGGTAGTGGTGATGATGATGATGGTGGTGGTGGTGATGGCACGAGGGGGAGGAGGAGGGATGCTGACGTGGTAGAGAACTGCTTCAAGGAATACGTGGAGCTGCTAGGTCAGCAGCCACGTCAGCAGCCGCTCGTGCTGGAGGCGCTGACGTGGCGTTTTCAGGACGACCCGACAGCAGCGCTGGCACTGCTCACATCGCTGCGGCACCCGCCGCCCAACGGTATGCACGCAGCTCTTTGTATTTATTCGCGCGAGGTATGAGGCACTTTTTGAGTTGCCTAAAAAGTTTGGCATTGCTCATGTGGCTGCGGCACCCCCCTGTCCCCCCTTGTCTCCTCCTGTCTTCCCCTCTACCACACCGGATCTGGTGCTCTCTCTGATTTGCCAGGTGGTCCCTCATCTCAGTGCCTCCTTCCTCGAACATATCTTGGAGCAGACCAGCTCATACTCACCTTGCTCCCAGCTCATACTCACCTTGCTCCCAGCTCATACTCACCTTGCTCCCAGCTCATACTCACCTTGCTCTCAGCTCATACTCACCTTGCTCCCAGCTCATACTCACCTTGCTCCCAGCTCATACTCACCTTGCTCCCAGCTCATACTCACCTTGCTCTCAGCTCATACTCACCTTGCTCTCAGCTCATACTCACCTTGCTCCCAGCTCATACTCACCTTGCTCCCAGCTCATACTCACCTTGCTCCCAGCTCATACTCACCTTGCTCTCAGCTCATACTCACCTTGCTCCCAGCTCATACTCACCTTGCTCCCAGCTCATACTCACCTTGCTCCCAGCTCATACTCACCTTGCTCTCAGCTCATACTCACCTTGCTCCCAGCTCATACTCACCTTGCTCCCAGCTCATACTCACCTTGCTCTCAGCTCATATTCCTTCCCCGCCCCCCACCACTTCCCACCCCACCAGACCTGGTGCTCTCTCTCATCCGCTAGGTGGCCCCTCATCTCAGTGCCTCCTTCCTCCAACACCTCTTGGAGCAGACAGCGCAGGCCATGGGAGAGGCGGGTAGAGGTTCAGGGCTGCTTTCTGCCTTCCTGCCCTAGAGAAGATTAAGATTAGATACTTGTTAAGGACGAGTCACCTGTTGGATCCAGGTCGAACCTGTTCTTCTTTCCTGCTCTTATGCTGCTGTCCTGTCGTCCCCTCTCCCCTCTCCCCTCTCCCTCCCCACCAGACCTGGTGCTCTCGCTTATTCGTCAGGTGGCCCCTCACCTCAGTGCCTCCTTTCTTGAACATCTCTTAGAGCAAACCACCTAGGCCCAGCTCATGTTCCTTCCCCGCTTCCCACTGCTTCCCACCACTGTCCACCCCGCCAGACCTGGTGCTCTCTCTCATCCGTCAGGTGGCCCCTCACCTCAGTGCCTCCTTTCTTGAACACCTCCTGGAGCAGACAGCACAGGCCCCCTGCTCCCAGCTCATGTTCATTCCCCCCCTCCCTCTCTCCCTTCATTTCCCCACCAGACCTGGTGCTCTCGCTTATTCGTCAGGTGGCCCCTCACCTCAGTGCCTCCTTTCTTGAACATCTCTTGGAGCAGACCGCCCAGCCCCCCCATTGCTCCCTTCATGTCCCGCCATGTTCTCTGCCTGTCTCCCACCACTTCCCACCACATCTCACCCCGCCAGACCTGGTGCTCTCTCTCATCCGTCAGGTGGCCCCTCACCTCAGTGCCTCCTTCCTTGAACATCTCTTGGAGCAGACAGCCCAAGCCATGGGAGAGGGGGGTGGTGGGGAGGGCTTGGAGGAAGGGGAAGGGGAGGACGGGGAGGAGGGATCCGGAGACGGCTGGAGGGGCAGCCGCGGCAGTGGTGGCGGCGGCGGAGGGAGCGGGAGAGAGGGTGGGGAGAGCGGAAGGCGGTGGAGTAGCAGCAGTGGGGCTGGTGCGCCTGGCGGTGGTGCTGGTGGTGGTGGGGTTGGGGAGGTGCAGGATGTGGGAGCAGCAGCATCACAGCTACAGCTAGACCTGGTGAGTCTGTGTGTTGTCAGGTGCAGAGTAGCAGGGGGAGCGGGAGAGTGAGTGGGAAGAGCGGAAGGCGGTGGAGTAGCAGCAGTGGTGCGGGTGCGTCTGGCGGTGGTCCAGAGGGGGGTCAGGGGGTGCAGGTCGTGGGGGCAGCGGCATCACAGCTACAGCTAGACCTGGTGAGCTCGTGCCTTTCGAGCTGAAATTTGAGTGTACTCGAGAGTTTCTTCGGTGTAGAGTGGAGTGGATTTTGTTCTTCACGGCTCCTGTTCCTCTCGGATAGAGCCTATTTTTGAGTCGACTCAAAAATAGGCTCTTCACGGCTCCTGTTCTTTTCGGATAGTCTTTCTCCTTTGCATCTCCGGTCCCTCTTTCGTACATCTTTCATACCTAATCCCATATACCTCTTTCATTCATCTCCTCTCGTATTTCTATACTAAACCACCTTAACTCCTCCTCTTCTGTACCTCTCTTGTTGCTCTTCCGTTCCCCAGGTTCGGCTCAGCCTTCACCGGGTCAGAACGGAGCTCCGCCAATCAGCACCAGCCACGTCAGCAGCAGGGGTGTCCTCAGCCACGTCAGCAGCAGCAGCAGGGGAACGCTCTGCTGTGATTGGTCCAGAGAGGGCCAAGCTGGCAGCTGTGTTGCAGCGTATCAGGCTGCGACTGATTCCAGAGGTGAGTTGCGATGCGGTGTAGTGTGATTAGGTGAGGTGCAGTGTGGTGAGGTAAGGGGGGCAGGGCACATTTTTTGCCTAAGAGCGAGCCCGTTGTGAGTGATTTCGTATTCATTTGGGACCTGTTTTTGAGGCGCCTCAAAAATCGTTGTGAGTGATTTCATACTCATTTGGGACCTCATTTGCCAGACTTGAATCGCACGACCACGTTGAATCATCGAGCCATTGAACCGGCCAAACCGGCCGAACCGGATGGATGGATGATAAAAAAAAGTACTGAAAGACACTTGTTGTACTGAAGCAGATCTCTCATAGGAGAATACTTGCGCATGTTCTGTACAAAGCAGAGTCTGAGAATCTCCTCTGTCCTTCCATCTTGTTTTCCTCCTCCTCAAACCCCGTTACAATCCCCCTCCCTGCTCAGCCCTCCAAGCGCCCTCTTCGAGGAAAAGACCCCTCTTGCCCTCCAAGCTTCTCCTGCACTTGTGGCTCCACACTTACGCCCATCCACCTGCCCATGGATATGCCATCGCCCATGCACCTGCCCATGGATATGCCATCGCCCATGCACCTGCCCATGGATATGCCATCGCCCATGCACCTGCCCATGGATATGCCATCGCCCATGCACCTGAACAGGTACCCAACCGTGGCCCTGCTGCTGCTGTGTCTCATCCCACTCATCAATCCCCCCTTTCCCTGCTCGTCCCTCCAGGTGCTCCACATGCTCCCTCCAGGCTCCCTCTTTGAGGAAAAGGCCTCCCTTCTCCTGCGCCTCTTGCTCCACACTCACGCCCATCCACCTGCCCATGCATCTAGCAATGGCACTGCCACTGCACCTAACCTTGGCACTCGGGTCTGGATGCACCCAACCATGGCACTGCTGCTGCTGTGTCTCATCCCACTCATCAATTTTCCCTTTCTTCCCTCCTCTCCGCTACAGGTGCTGCAAATGCTCCCTCCAGGCTCCCTCTTTGACGAAAAGGCCTCCCTTTTCCTGCGCCTGGGGATTTGTGGCAGTGCTTCTGGTGTGTCTCATCTCATCCCACTCATCAATCCTCTCCCTCCCTGCGCGTCCCTCCAGGTGCTCCAAATGCTCCCTCCAGGCTTCCTCTTTGACGAAAAGGCCTCCCTTCTCCTGCGCCTCCTGCTCCACACCTACACCCATCCACCTGCCCAAGCTACAGCGCCTGTGCACGCGACACCCATGGGAGCAGCGATGCCGTTAGGTGTAAGAAGGCCTGTGCGTGCAGCAGAGGCGGCAGCAGCAGCAGTGGAGGCAGTGGGAGGTCGGGATGCCCTCCTGTGGATGGTGCTTGTGCTCTATGCCAGGAAGGTGCGTTTTCTTGTTGGGAAGAAGGCCAAAGAGATGGTATGCGATGCTTGGGAAGGGCAGCGGCAGTAGTGGAGGCAGTGGGAGGGCGGGATGCGCTGCTGCGGATGGTGCTTGTGCGCTACGCCAGGAAGGTACGGCAACCCTATTGCATGCATAATTGGTATGCAGCGCAAGCAAGGGCAGCAGCAGCAGGGCATGCTGTGGGTGGTTGAAGAAGTGTTTTGAGACGTCTCAAAACAATGAATGCTCTGCTGTGGGTGGTGCTTGTTCTCCACACCAGAAAGGTACCAGGGCTTTCCATTGACAACGTACCACCTGGGGTTCTCTCTTGGGAGGGGTTATCGGCCGCAAGAGGGTTGTTCCTGGCTTTTGAGTCGACTCAAAAGTCACTTTCCCTTGACAACGTACCACCTGGGGTTCTATGCTGGGAGGGGTTATCGGCCCGGCCGCAAGAGTCCTGTTCCTGGCCTTACCATAAGTGTCTGCAGTTTACAACCGTCCGATTTTGAGATGACTTTTGAGTCGGCTCAAAAGTTCCTGGCTTTGCCAAAAGTGTCTGCAGGTTACAACCGTCCGATTTTTTGTGCCTAAAGCATACCCCTTCCCGCTCCTCTTTCCCACCCTCCCCACCACCCAACCCCCAAACAGCTGAATCAGCCTGTGCACTGCATCACCATATGTGACCAACTCCTCTCCCTCTCCTCTCCTCCCTCTCGACCATCCGTGCCCTCCCTCTCTCTCCACCCTTCCCCCACCCCTCCCTCCTCCATCTGCCTTCGCATGCCTCCTCCCACTACCACCACCGCCTCCTCTTCCTCCTCATCCTCCTCTTCTCACTCCCACATTCCTGCGCTTATCCCTCTTCTCCCTCCCTTCTCCTCTTCTTCCATAACCGCTTTCCAATCCACTCCCACCGCTCCCACCACCGCCGCCACTGCACAAGCGCCAGCAGCAGCAGTGGGAGGGGAAACAGGAAGAGCAGCAGCAGAAGCAGCAGCAGGAGGAAGAGGAGGAGAAACAAAAGGGGTTGCAAGGGAGGAGGCTACTCCTGATGTGGAAGGGAGCAGCAGTATCAGCTCTAGCCCTCTTCTTACTGCTTCCACGCCCCACCAAGTGCTGCTGCGGGTTCTGCTGCTGTCTGACGTGGCGCTGACTCAGTTTGCCGCCCACTTTGGAAGGATCTACATAACAAGTCAAGGGGAGGGAGAGGAAGGTGCGGAGAAGGTGGATGGAGGTGGAGGGCCAGGAGATGGACAAGGAGTCAAAGCAGAAACAAGAATGGCAGAAGAACCAGCAGAATCAGCAGCAATGGATGCAGCGGCAAGTGCGACTGGTGCAGAGAAGAGGGGAAAGAGACTAGCTGTGATTGCGGATGTGGAAAGGGAGGGGGAAAACAGGGAGGAAAACAGCAGCCCTGCCTCGTCGTCGTCCCTTGTGGTTTCCTCCTCCCCGGCCCCACAAGGCCCCACGGGTGTGACACGTGTTCTGAAAGAAGGGGGGGAAGCAGGTCAAGCCTTTGATGAGGTTAGGAGGCGAGGGGGGGCGAACAGGTGGGGGCTGAGGGAGGGGGTGATGGTGGCGGCGGCTCTTGAGGTGATGGAGAGGCGGTGGGCAATGGTTGAATCTTTCGAGGCACTACACATGCTGCCCTCTGATGTGCCGTTGCAGGTGAGATGTGATGTATGTGGGGCACTGAGCAGTGTGCACTGAGCAGCACTGAACAGGAGGGGGTTGAGGGAGGGAGTGATGGTGGGGGTTGAGGGAGGGAGTGATGGTGGGGGTTGAGGGAGGGATTGACGGTGGGGGTTGAGGGAGGGAGTGATGGTGGAAGCGGCGTTGGAGGTGATGGAGAGGCGGTGAGCAATAATTGAAACTTGAGCTTTTCGAGGCATTGCACATATTACCCCATGGCTTGCCGTTGCAGGAAGGATGCACATGAGGCAAGGCACATGGGCTGTTTTTGGAAGTAAAAGCCCCCCTAAACCCCACCCCCACCTTCCACCCGCACCCCCACCCCCTGAGCGTGTTGCCATACCTAGAGGCAGTGCTTCGGGTGGGCAGCGAGCAGAGGAGGAATGCACTGGTTTACTTACAGGTCACCCCCACCCCCACTTTCATCCACCCCCACCCCCCCTCACCCCCACCCATTCTTCAGAGCGTGCTGCCATATTTAGGGGCGGGGCTGCGAGCGGGCAGTGAGCAGCAGAGGAACGAGCTGCCATGCGTGGAGTCTCTTTCAGTACTTTCATAAGTCGCCTCCACCCCCACCCCCACCCCCACCCATTCTCCAGAGCGTGCTGCCATACCTAGAGGCAGTGCTGCGAGCGGGCAGCGAGCAGCGGAGGAACAGTGCTGTGGTGAAGAACCTCAGGCGCAGCGAGAATCTGCAGGTGAGCGGTGTGCAATGCGGTGCAGTGCGGTTGATGAGCGGTGCAGTGCAGCAGGTGAGTGTTGTAGTGAGTAGAGGAGGAACGTGGCTGTGGTGAAGAACCTCAGGCGCAGCAAGAACCTGCAGGTGAGTGGCGCAGTGCGGTTGGCGAGGGGTGCAGTGCGGTTGGCGAGGGTTGCAGTGCGGTTGGCGAGGGTTGTAGTGCTGCAACTGAGCAGTGGAGTGTGGCAGGTGAGTGCAGCTTCGTGTTTAGAGGAGGGTCGGTGCTGTGGTGAAGAACCTCAGGTGGAGTGAGAACCTGCAAATGAGCGGTGCAGTGTTGCATTGTGCGGTTGGTGAGAGGTGCAGTGCAACAGGTGAGTGTTTCTTTGTGCTTAGAGGAGGAACGTGGCTGTGGGGAAGAACCTCAGGCAGAGCGAGAACCCCCAGCCCCTCCATTCCGCGCCCTCCTCTCTCCTGTATAGATCTGGCAGGAGATGGCGAATGGTGGGCATCAGTGAGGCCGTGTCTGCGCTATCTGTCGTCCCTCACATGACTCCTCTCTTTCTCTTCCCACCCCATCCTCCGCACTCCCCCCTCTCCTGCTCCTCCACCTCCCCTGCACACACAGCTCCAGGGGAGGTGGCGAATGGTGGGCATCAGGGAGGCCGTCTCTGCAGTATCTGTCGGAGTTGCTCTTGAGAATTCTCAAACGCTATCTATCGTCCCCTTTTCTTTCGCCCTGTCCCATCTCTCCGCACTTTCCCCTCCCCTATTTGTCCACCTCCCCGGCACGCCCCTCCACTTCGTGCCTTCCCTGCTCCTGTATAGCTTCGGGAGGAGGTGGTGAATGGTGGGCATCAGGGAGGCCGTCTCTGCGCGACCTGTCGGAGTTGTTTTTCATAATTCTCACAAGCTATCTGTCGTGCTTTTGAGTCGACTGCTTTTGAGTCGCTTTTGAGTCGCTTTTGAGTCGCTTTTGAGTCGCTTTTGAGTCGCTTTTGAGTCGCTTTTGAGTCGCTTTTGAGTCGCTTTTGAGTCGCTTTTGAGTCGCTTTTGAGTCGCTTTTGAGTCGCTTTTGAGTCGCTTTTGAGTCGCTTTTGAGTCGCTTTTGAGTCGCTTTTGAGTCGCTTTTGAGTCGCTTTTTGAGTCGCTTTTTGAGTCGCTTTTTGAGTCGCTTTTGAGTCGCTTTTGAGTCGCTTTTGAGTCGCTTTTGAGTCCGCTTTTGAGTCGCTTTTGAGTCGCTTTTGAGTCGCTTTTGAGTCGCTTTTGAGTCGCTTTTGAGTCGCTTTTTGAGTCGCTTTTGAGTCGCTTTTGAGTCGCTTTTGATCGCTTTTGAGTCGCTTTTGAGTCGCTTTTGAGTCGCTTTTGAGTCGCTTTTGAGTCGCTTTTGAGTCGCTTTTGAGTCGCTTTTTGAGTCGCTTTTGAGTCGCTTTGAGTCGCTTTTGGAGTCGCTTTTGAGTCGCTTTTGAGTCGCTTTTGAGTCGCTTTTGAGTCGCTTTTGAGTCGCTTTTGAGTCGCTTTTGAGTGGCGCTTTTGAGTCGCTTTTGAGTCGCTTTGAGTCGCTTTTGAGGTCGCTTTTGAGTCGCTTTTGAGTCGCTTTTGAGTCGCTTTGAGTCGCTTTTGAGTCGCTTTTGAGTCGCTTTTGAGTCGCTTTTGAGTCGCTTTTGAGTCGCTTTTGAGTCGCTTTTGAGTCGCTTTTGAGTCGCTTTTGAGTCGCTTTTGAGTCGCTTTTGAGTCGCTTTTGAGTCGCTTTTGAGTCGCTTTTGAGTCGCTTTTGAGTCGCTTTTGAGTCGCTTTTGAGTCGCTTTTGAGTCGCTTTTGAGTCGCTTTTGAGTCGCTTTTGAGTCGCTTTTGAGTCGCTTTTGAGTCGCTTTTGAGTCGCTTTTGAGTCGCTTTTGAGTCGCTTTTGAGTCGCTTTTGAGTCGCTTTTGAGTCGCTTTTGAGTCGCTTTTGAGTCGCTTTTGAGTCGCTTTTGAGTCGCTTTTGAGTCGCTTTTGAGTCGCTTTTGAGTCGCTTTTGAGTCGCTTTTGAGTCGCTTTTGAGTCGCTTTTGAGGTCGCTTTTGAGTCGCTTTTGAGTCGCTTTTGAGTCGCTTTTGAGTCGCTTTTGAGTCGCTTTTGAGTCGCTTTTGAGTCGCTTTTGAGTCGCTTTTGAGTCGCTTTTGAGTCGCTTTTGAGTCGCTTTTGAGTCGCTTTTGAGTCGCTTTTGAGTCGCTTTTGAGTCGCTTTTGAGTCGCTTTTGAGTCGCTTTTGAGTCGCTTTTGAGTCGCTTTTGAGTCGCTTTTGAGTCGCTTTTGAGTCGCTTTTGAGTCGCTTTTGAGTCGCTTTTGAGTCGCTTTTGAGTCGCTTTTGAGTCGCTTTTGAATGCCCTCCTCCCTTTCCCTTCTTCCCCCTGCTGACTACCCCTACTTCCCTCGTATAGCTCCGGGAGGAGTTGGCGAATGGAAGGAAGCGCCACGCCAGCATCACGGGGGACCGACTGTGCGCCATCTGTCGCAAGCGGATTGGTGGGAGCGTGTTTGCAGTCTATCCGGGCGGCACGCTGGTGCATTTTGTCTGCTTCCAACACCACCAGACGCAGCTGCCTGCTGCTGCTGGTCCATGATTGGAAAGGCAGTTCAGCTGCCCTTCAGGGTATTTGTAACATTTTGTCTGCTCAACACCACTAGATGCAGCTGCTTGTTGCTGCGGGACCATGATGGGAAGTCAGTCGCCTGCAGGGTATCGGTACTTGATTTTTGAATGTGTAACATACTATGAATAGGAGATACAAGTAGGGCTTGCATGATTTTTTATTTAACCTCAAAAATAGTATGACTGCTCTTTCTTGCATCAACTGTATATTCTCTTTGTAGCTACAGGTTTTGTCGGAAAAAACCCTCCTGCGTTACCTGCTTCCAGGCCCTCAGATATCAGGCTTTTTACCCTGATTTTACTGATTTTCAGTCTTTTATTTTGTACCAACACTGTTTTTTCAGGCTTTTTTTTTTCCAACAATGATTTTTCAGCCTTCTTTTCTTAGAGAACACTGATTTTCCAGCCTTTTTTTCTTAGCAACACTGATGGATCAGCGTTGTAACGAACCTCGACACTGAAAGCGATAACTACAAGTTGCCTGTAGATTTCCCGGGAAATAGCAGGAATCCCAATTTCCCGCGGTGTCAGCACCGCGTGTCGGTGACTACCTGACAAAAAAGCCCTCACAACACATTCACGCTAACATATGATGTGCTGGCGCGGTGTGTCACACCATTGGGCAGTTTCGGGGTTACCCATGAAGCTTCCCAATGGGGAGATGCTTTAGGGAATCGTGCTGGAAGACTGGCAGCCTTCCAGCACTGCAGCTTGCACCTGCGTCGCGATGCGACTTCGTCGTGGTGGCAAGAAGTGATGCTCCCGCAGTGACTCTGAATGCATGGGACGCCGCCCAGGCAGCATCACTGCCATCCAGGAGTCGTTTCTGCTTCGTCCTCTTCATCAGAATGGGGTTTCAATCCCTTGTGCGTGTACCAAGAGGCAGCCAGCCGTGTGTATTCGCCTCTGCTGCTGGTTTCTCTCGTAGCTTGTTTCTGCCGCTTTCACTCTAGCTTAGATGTAGCTGGTCTAGATACTGACTATGCCAGGCCCCCATGAGGCCAGCGTTACTGATGCCCAAGGGAGCGATGATGCGCATCGTCAAGCGCCAGTGGATAGATCTGACGCAGTTACCGGCCTCGATCTGCCTTTTTCGAGCCTCGCCCAAGTAGACACCCATGAACCGCCGGCAGATGTCGCGTCGCCTGCCAAGATCCCTTTCAAACCGATTGATCCAGATGGGTGGGCTGATTGCCTTTCAGCGCCTGATTTTGAGCAAGAACGTGAGGCGCCCCCCGTGGCAGAATCTACGCCAACAACCCTGCCGAAGAAGAATGGGCGTTACAAGCAGTTATTGCTCCCGTTTCGCTCCAATGCCTCTGTCGACGGACCATCCGCGCCGTCTCCAACCGACGTGCCTTCGTCGCCCGCCACTGCTGGTGTGCAGCAATCGCCTTCCAAAGCTGGGCTGTCGAAGGATTAGTGACTCTGATTCTGATTATTGAACTCTGTCGATGCTGCATGCAAGCACGATGTGCTAAACTTTAAATCCTTAGTTTTTTATTTAATCAGGTTTTTTTTTTATGTAACAATGATCAATCGTGCTTTTTTTTTAAGCAACACTGAATTTCCAGCCTTTTTTTTTAACACTGTCAATCAGCCTTTTTACTCGAGAGCCTGATGCATCAGGGTACTAAAAAGTGAATCTGAGGGCCTGCCTGCTTCTGTCCTTACACTCCTGCTGCTTTCTCCTTCTCACCCTTGCATCTGTCTGCCCCTGCCCCCTAGTTCCCTTCTTCGTACTCAGCCACTACCTGCCCCCTCCTGTGCTCGTGCTCAAGCTGCTCGGGCCCGAGTCACAGGACTCCCCAGCTGAGGACGTCTGCTCTGCACCTCTGCCATGTGGGTCTGGCGGTTCCCGGTCTGCTCTCCTTTCTCCTTCTCCAGCACCCACACTCCTACTCCTCGCACTGCTTGCATCCTCTCTTGCACTCTTCCCCGCTCCACATCTCGGGTCTCCTTCTTTACCCTTCTCTTCTCCTCCCATCCCAACCGCTTTCTTCGTCCTTCTGTTGCACTGCTGCTGTCGCTGCTCATACTTGCACGCATCCGCCGACTGCACTGTATGCAGGTCCTCTTCTGCTGCCGGTATCACTCCCCTCAGGTAGCCTGCTGCCTTGGCTCCCTTCCAGGCCACCCAGTTCTCAGCCTCTCCCCCAGTATCGCCCATTTCTTCCCCTGCTGGCAAGCACTCCCTTGCCCCCACTCCCTTGCCCCCACTCCCTTGCCCCCACTCCCTTGCCCCCACTCCCTTGCCCCCACTCCCTTGCCCCCACTCCCTTGCCCCCACTCCCTTGCCCCCACTCCCTTGCCCCCACTCCCTTGCCCCCACTCCCTTGCCCCCACTCCCTTGCCCCCACTCCCTTGCCCCCACTCCCTTGCCCCCACTTCCTTGCTCTTCCTCTCTGCTTCCTCCCGCTCCTGGGCCGTGTCCCACACTGGACCCTTCCACCCTGCTATCCCCAGTTCCCCTTGCCACCAGTTGCTCGTCATTTCAGCTGATACACCTGCCCTGACCCTCACCTCTTCGTTCTTCCCTTCAGCTTCTACTGCTGCTGGTGCACCCGCCCATGCCCCCAACTCTTCGTTCTTCCCTACTGCTTCTGCCACTTCTGGTTTGCACGCCTTTACCCCCATCTTCTCTTCCTTCCCTTCCGCTTCCGCTGTTGCTGGTGTACACGCCTCTACCCCTACCTTCTCGTTCTTCCCTTCTGCTTCCGCCACTGCTGGTACACACTCTTCTGCCCCTTCCTGCTCGTCCCTTCCTTCCGTATCTGCTGCTACTGTTACACATACCCCTGCCCCCACCTTCTCCTCCTTTCCTTCCGTTTTTGGAGTTGCTGCTATACATGCCCATGCCCCCACCTTTCTCACACGCTCCCCTCGTCCGTCCCTGCCCCCACTGCGCAGCCTCATATCTTCACGAACACGCAGCACAGCATAGGAGCACTCCGGCTCCTACTTCTCCTTTTCCTCCTCCTCCTCCCTCGCGTACCACCCCGCCTCTTCCTTTCCTTTTAGCGCCTGCAGTTGAGCTCGTAACCTCCCAAGCTGGTTTTCTATCTCCTCGACTGACTTCTCCGGGCAATCGCTTCGGCGGTGTCCGTGCTTCCCGCGCACATCACAGTTTCTGCAGTTTATCCTGATGTGCCCTTTCTGCCCGCACTTGTGACACGTCCGGGTATCCGGCCGCCCCTCTTGCCGCTGCTCTTCCCTGCCCTCGTCTCCATGTTTCATTGCTACTGCCCACGTCGCCCTCTTCCTCTCTACCACCCTCGGTAGGTAAACTTCATACCGCCTTTGCGCCAGTTCCACTTTCTCTGCGAGTTCAAACACTTCTTCGAGCGTCGCATCAGCTCCCAGCTCGTGCACTCTCATCCTCAGTCCACCGCTTAGTCCGTCATCTAGTCCCCCCATGAACTTGCTTATAAGCATGCTGCCATCTGTGCACACCACATCTTCCGCCAAATTCATCAATCTCCCGTAGTAGGTGAGCAGTGACTCGGTGTTCCCTCGCCTGAACTCCTGAAATTCTCTAATTCTCTGCGCTGTGTGCCCTGGAAACTGTTTTCTCAGTCGCTCAAGGAACAGCGTCGTGGGATCCTCTCCATCCTCCTCTGCCTGCCTCAGCTACTCTGGCATCTTCATTCGGTAGAGCGTTTCAGCTTCGCCCCCCAACGTATTCGGTAGGCTTAAGAAAAACTCTATCGGGTCCATCCTGCTTCTATCGCAGCGGTACTTCACATTTGCGATATGCATCAGGTAATTCTTCAGGTTGGTTCCTGATCCTGCTCCCCCTGTAAAGCGCACTGGCACCTCCACCTGAGGTGGGGCCTGCACACTCCACCTCCCCGTCTCCCAAGTCCCTGAGATCACATTCCTCCTGCAATTCTCTCCTCTCCTCTCCCTCGACTCCCTGCTCCTTGACTCTGTCCCATACAGCACTCGATAGATTCCTTCCCTGGCTGCCCTGGCTCCTCCCGAGCCCATCCATGGCTGCTGCGGCCTTCCTTGTCAGCTCTGACTTGGGCTCCTTCCCCGCTCTCTCTCACGAGTCTCCCTATGTCCCTCTGATCCCCGCCCTGGTCTCTCTCTCTTTTCAGGGGAATATTCTTCCCAGCGCTTCTCCCTTCGGTTAAATCCGTAGCATGCAGGTCTGTCATACTCTTCTTCTTCCTCGCTTTCCGTGTCATGCTCAGGCGTCAACTCCCGCCACCTACGCTGCTCCTCTCTTCTCCCTCTCTGCCCTATCTTTTCCTGCTTCTCCCTTTCCTTCCGATCAGGTTCCCTTCGCCCCTCTTGCCATCCCTCATACCCCTCTCTTCCTGCAGGGGATAATTTCGTCTTATATTGCTCCTCCTTGCCATGTCGGCCCCGATCCCTATCATACCCATCCTCCTCCTCTTCCCCGTTCTTTGTATCATACTCAAGCATCCTCTCCCGTTGCATATGCTGCTTTTCCCCTCTCTTCCTCTGTCCGTTCATGTCCTGCTTGTCCCTCACCTCCACCCCAGGTTCCCTCTGCCCTTCTTGCCTTCCCCTGTACCCCTCTCTTCCTTCAGGGAATAAGTCCTTCTCACGCCGCTCCTGCTTACCCCATCGGCGCTGATCCAGCCCATACTCATATTCCTCCATTCCACTGGCTGCCTCCCCTTCCGATGACCCCTCCCTTCTTCCATGCTGCTCCTCATCTCTCTTGCTTCCCGAGCTCATCCCATACAACACTCGCTCTATCCCCTCCCGGGCTGCTCTAGCTTCCCTTGATTGCCATGGCCTCCTCGGCCCCAGTAGACTCCTTCCTCGCTCACCCTCATAAGCCTCCCTTCGCTTTTCTGATTCCCCCCATTGCCCTTCTCCCTTCTCAAGCAAGTGCTCCTGATAACTCCTCCCTCGCTCCCATGCATCAGGTCCCTTTCGACCTGCTGGTCTCCCTCGCTCATACTCCTCCCTCCGTCTCTCTGGCGATCGCAGCACGTCCATTGCCACACGTCTCCTCCCACGTCCTCGCAGCCCAGGCGAGCTGTCTGATCCCATTGGCGCATGGTTTTTCCCACCGTCCTCCCGCCTGCCGTCCGGCGAGCAATCTGCCGCAGTGCTTCCGTGGTGCCTCGCACCTCCGTCGCGCATCTCCTTTGGCGAGAAATCTGCCGCAGCGCTTCCGCGGCGCCTCGCACCTCCGTCGCGCATCTGCCACAGCGCTTCCGCGGCGCCTTGTTGGAGGTTGCGTGGGGCTGTTTTGCCCCCAACCACCAAGCGGTGCTGTTTTTGGTGCTCACCTTCGAGTGAGCTGCAGGTTTGCGTGGGGTTGAAGTTTGACTTCGGAAGACTCCACCAATTCGGTGCCACATGGCAGCATCAGGAACATTCGAGATTGAAGGAGCATTTGGTGAAATTCGAGTACCGAATTTCACCCCGTTTGACATGTTACACGAATGTTCGCGACACATCTCGTAGTGACTAGATGTTACATGCGCGACTCGATGTATTGAGTATCTATAAATATGCTCACCTTGTTTGCATGTTATATACTGAAAATCAGAGTTTCCTATACACGGTTCAAGACACAAATTCCAGAGAGCATCCTATCCTTCAACCTAGAGCATAGCTTTCATGTTAGAGGCCATGACTCGCTCGATACTTAGGCGATGGACGCAATTGACGGCTCGTTGGAAAGCTAAGACAGAGCTCTAGTGATTAGTTTAAATCCCAGTTCCTGCAAATTAGAGGAGAGTCCTTTAAAGCAGTGGTATCAGAGCTGGTCGGAGGAGTCTACGCGCGCAACAAGAAGCTAGCATGCCGACGTCAAGCGAGGCCTCCCGCACTTCCTTGGATGGTGTCGTTGTAAATTCCGGCAAACCCTGGGCAACCGCGACGATGTTCGACACGTTGGCGGTACCGATTTTCACGGGACAAAACTACTCTGCGTGGAAGTTTAAGTTCCAAGTGCTCATGATGGAGCGGGGACTTTGGGGTTTCTTCGATGGAACGGAGAAGAAGCCAGACAACGAGAGCGACATCGCGGCATGGAAGAAGGACCAAAAGGCATCCGCTACGTTGATTTCGCGCATCGGCATCAATCTCGTGAGCTCGGTGCGCATGTGCATCAAGCTCGAAGCGTCGGCGCATGAAGCGTGGAAGCGGCTCGAGACTATGCATGTGAACAAGACTCTCCACGGCAAGATCCTAGCCCGGAATGCGTTCTACACGGTGAAGATGCGCGCGGGCGAATCGATGCACGAGTATGCGACTCGTGTGGAGGAACTCGGGGAAAGGTTCATGGACCTCGGTGGAACGGTCACGGAGGAGGATTGGATTTTGACCTTGCTATGCGGCCTTCCGGAAGAGTGGTCGATGGTGATTACGACACTCGATAGCGTGCAACACACTTGGACGAAGGAAATGGTGGTCGCTCGGCTTCTCCATGAAGAATCGCGTCGCCGACAATTCGCTAATGAGAGCGAGGGTGCCGCCATGTTCTCTGGAGGGAATTCCGGAAAGAAGTCCACATGGAGCAAAGGTGCGACGAAGAAGTCGTCCGGTGGAAGCGATCGAGGCAAGGGAAACACATCAAATGGCTCGAGCAAGTGCCACTATTGTGGCAAGGCGGGACACTTTTGGCGTGAGTGTCGGAAGCGCCCGAGCGATTGGACTCCATCGAATTTGCGGAACCACGAGGGCAACGCGCACACGGCATCCGGCGATGCGGATGATTCAAGGGAGTCAATCGTATTATTGGCCGGTGACGAGACCAACACACCAAGCGACGCATGGTTCCTCGACACCGGCGCAACACAACACATGACGCACTCGGCATCGTTCCTCACCAACGTTGGCGCACCGGGAGACGTAACGCGCATCGTCTTCGGAAACGACAAGTCGCTACCGGTGGTCGGAGTTGGAAGTACGCGCCTCATCGTCGATGGCGGGCCGGTGGACATTACGAACGTGCTTCACGTCCCGGGGTTGAAGGTGAATCTCCTCTCCGTCACTCAACTCGCGAAGAAGGGTGTGAATGTCGCTATCGACGATGCGAAGATGAACCTCTTTTGGAAGGGGAAGCAATTCGAGCAAGGTGTTCTCAACGGAGAACTATACCAACTCAAGACGCACCCGAGAGTGGCTTCATCCAACGTGGCGCAAGGTTCCAAAGCGACTCTCAAGGTGTGGCATAATCGGCTTGCGCACGCCAACTACGACTCAGTCAAGGAGTTGGCCAACAAAGGACTTGCGAAGCGATTTAACGTGATCGCCGGCGACGACGAGAAGGGCATATGCACGGCGTGTGTTGAAGTAAAAATGGCTCGCAAGCCATTTGGTAGCCGAACGTCACCCCTCGCTAAGGACCCGCTTGCGCTTGTTCACATGGACGTGTGTGGACCGATGCGGCATGCATCAAAGGGAGGAGTGTGGTTCCTCTTGGTGATGCTCGACGACGCGACGCGGATGTGTTGGACCCGGCTCTTGAAGGTTAAGGGAGATGTGACCAAGGCGATTCAAGAGTGGGCACTTGAAGTTTGCGACGACGATAAGAAGCGGATCAAGGCTATTCGCACCGACGGTGGCAGCGAATTCGTGAATGCGGAGCTTGAGACATGGATGAAGAGCAAGGGCATTAAGCATGACGTCACAACACCCTACACACCCCAACAAAATAGAGCGGCGGAGCGACTTAATCGCACGTTGGTGGAAGTCGTTCGTTCACTTCTTCAACACTCCAAGCTTGGGAGCGAGTGGTGGGGTGAGGCGAGTTTGATGGTGGCGTGGATTCGCAACCGTTTGCCGACGAAGGTGCTCCCGGGAATGACTCCGTTTAGGGTTTAGGGTTTAGGGTCATTCCCGGGAGCACCTTCGTCGGCAAACGAAGCATGGAACGGAACGAAGCCAAACCTATCCCGCCTACGCACCTTTGGGTGCCTTTGCTAGTACCATGTACCGGATCCCCTTCGCCACAAGTGTCAGAAGAATGAATGAACTACGAAAGAGTTGGGTACAAATACTAACCCTAATTGGGTTGTACCCCTTATGGGTTAACCCACTATAGCCTACACAAAGTAAGCAATATAACATTCTGACACACCCCCATAGGCAAAGTGGGGGAGAACAAGGGGTCACAAGACCAGTCAAGAAAAGCAAAGCAAGCTCTGGGTGGATCACAAAGTCACCACATAGTCTGAGCACAAGCAAATGGCCACAAGGCCAGTTCACATGCAGAGTTATATAAAAGAGAACAAACAATACAGTGATCATACCCTAGCAAGTGTAAGCATGCAGGTATATATATAGATCACAGTACAAGCAAAGTCACGCAGTGAGCAAGTGAGGCAAAGTAAGCACAAGGCCTAAAACAGTAGAGAAGCGCTGATGATCACCAGACTGAAGTGCCTTGGTGAATATATCAGCAGTGTTGGCCCTACTGGCCACGTACGCAAGACGAAGCTGACCACGCTGCTGCAACTCTTGAGCAAGGAAGTATCGTAGAGCGGTGTGCTTCGTTCGGTGCTCCAGTCTGTGCTCCTGACACAAAGCAACCATGGCCTTGTTGTCTACGTACAGAACTGGAGGCGAACGAGGTTGCTCTCCCAAGTCAGTCAGCATGTAGGTGAGCCAGCGTAACTCCTGTGCAGCCATGGCCCCAGCGTAGATATCAGCCTCATAACTGGAACAGAGAACCGAAGACAAGCGGGTAGACCGCCAGGAAACAGAGCCAGAACCGAGGCTGAAGGTGTAACCCAAGAAGCGTCTGCGTGACCAGTGAGGACAACTGGACCCCGTCCTCCAAGCACGAGCCCCATGCCCGACGTACTGCACAAGTAATGCAGTACCCTCTTCGCAGCATCCCAGTGCACCTTTCGGTGCCTACCGGGAGCCACGTAGCGAGCCAGGAGGCTGAGAGGGTACGCGAGGTCAGGTCGTGTGCACGTCATCAGGTACATGAGGCAACCCACAAGCTCTGGGTATGGACCACTCGGCTCTACGGATTCGTCCAAAGGTGGAGCTGAGAGCGAGTGGCCGGTAGACAGAGGAGTGGGCTGTGGCGAGGAGAACTGGAAGCCGAAGCGCTGAAGGACCTGGTGCACCATGTGTGACTGAGTCCGGGTGATGGTGTGCCGTGCTCTGTCCCGGGTGATCTGCAAGCCAAGATAGCTGCGCTGTTCACCCGGGTCAGTGCAGGTGTGTCTCTTCTGCAGCTCCGACTTCAGAAGGTTCAGTGCCTCAGTGTCAGCAGTGGCAAAGACCAAGTCGTCGACGTACACGAGGACGTAGAACGGCGGCACGGAAGTGTCGGTGCGCAGAAAGAGCGACGGGTCAGCAGTCAAAGGAGCAAACCCAAGAGCCGCAAGCATCGTCCTCAGTGTGTTGTGCCACTCGCGAGGCGCCTGGCGGAGACCGTAGACTGGCCGCCAGAGGCTCCACTGGGTACCTGCAGGAAACGACTCAGTGAAGCCAGGTGGGCGGCGTAGCCAAATCTCCTCGTGCAGGCTGCCCTGCAAGAAAGTTGTACTGAAGTCCAGCGAGTGCAACTCGTAGTCACGCTGAGTAGCGACGTGCAACAACACCCAAGGAGTAGTCATCTTCGAGGTGGGGGAGAAGGTATGGAAGTAGTCGACCCCTTGTCGCTGACTGAAGCCTCTAGCAACGTAACGCGCCTTGAAGGCAGGCGGAGAACCCGGTGGCCACTTCACCCTGAAAATCCACATGCCATCAACTATGTTCGCCCCAGACAGGGGAACTGCGTCAATGTAGGTGCCTGTGG